GCAACAGTTGTTAGCTCAGGTGCCAATCCTTAAAAAAAAAAAAAAAGGAAGATTGGCAACAGTTGTTAGCCTAGGTGCCAAACTTTAAAAAAAAAAAAAAAAAAAAAGAAATACAAAACTTCAATAGCCTTATATCGTTTAAGGAAACTGAATTCATAATTCACCACCCCACCAACACACAAAATCCCAACCCAGATGGCTCCACAGGTATGTTCTATCTAATGTTTAAGTAAGAAATAATACCAATTCTACACAAATCCAAAAAATAAAAAGAGGAGAAATAAATATTCCCCAAGTCATTTTATGAGGCCTCTATAACCCTGATACAAAATCAGATAAGGACATTACAAAAAAGAAAATAATAAATTAAAAAGGCTCATGAACACAAAAATAGAAATCTTTAACAGAACTTTTCAGCAAATCCAATTCAATAATATATGAAAAAGGTGAACATTCTGTGGTCAAATGAGGCTTAACCCAGGAATGTAAGATTGGCTTAATATATGAGATCAATAATATAATTCATATGTGAATCATATTATCATTTTAATAGATGTAGAAAAAGCATTTGACAAAATATAACATTATGATGAAAGCTTTTGGAAAATTAGAAATAAAAGGAAATTTCCCTGACCTAATAAAGATGTATAGGAAAACCCTACAGGTAACATCATACTTAATGGTAAAATGTTAAATGTAAAGAATGGGCACAAGACAAGACTTATCACTTCTCCTCAACAATGTACTGGAGGTCCTAGCCAGTACAACAAGACAAGAAAAAGAATAAAACACATAAAGACTGAAAAGGATGCAGTAGAATGTTTTTTTGTTGTTGTTGCAGAAAATATCACTTTATACACAGAAAATTCTAAAAATCTGCAGAAAAATTATTGGAAAAATATATTTAACAATGTCACAGAATACAAAGTCAATATTTTCACATACTAACAATGAATTATTAGAATATAAAATAAAACATATGATTTACAATAGCTTAAAAAATAGAGGAGGGGCCAGGCTGGTGGCATAGTGGTTAAGTTTGCACATTCTGCTTCAGTGGCCCAGGGTTCGCTGGTTTGGATCCTGGGTGCAGACCTATGCACTGCTTACCAAGCCATGCTGTGGCAGGTGTCCCGCATATAAAATAGAGGAAGATGGGCACGGATGTTGGCTGAGGGCCAGTCTTCCTCAGCAAAAAGAGGAGGATTGGTGGCAGATGTTAACTCTGGGCTAATCTTCCTCAAAACAAATAAACAAACAAACAAACAGAAAATGTAGGAATGAGCTGAATGAAAGATGTGCAGGACCTCTACACAGAAAATTGTGAAAGGTAACTTAGAGAAATTTAGAAAGGCATAAATAAATGATGTGACATACCATGTTCATGAGCTAGAATATTCAATATTAAGTCCAATGTTAAGATGTCAATTATCCTCAAACACAATCAAAATAAAATCTCAGCAGGTGTTTTTTAAAAAATTAACAAGCTGATTTAAAAAATTATTTAAAAATATGGAGGACTAGAACTACCAAAACAATCTCGAAAAAGTGATTCAGGGTTGGAGGATTTATCCTGTCTGACTTCAAGATTTATCATAAATCCGTAGTAATCAAGACAGCATGAAAGGACATGAAAGAGATCACTGGAACAGAACACAGAGTTCAAAATGGACCCACACATATACAGTCAAGTGCTAGTCCATACAGATGAAAATCAAATGATTTTTACAAGTCATTCAGTGGAAAAGAACATTTTTTCAACAAATGAATTCTGGGACAATTAGATATCTATATGAAAAAAAGCATAAAAATTAATTCAAGAAGTATCCCAGACCTAAACATAAAAGCTAAAGCTATAAAGCTAAAGAAAACACAGGAGAATATCTTAGCAATCTTAGGTTAAGTCAAGAATTCTTAGTACATAGAAAGCTTGTATATAAAAGAAAAAATTGACATGTTAGACTTCAAAATTAGATACATCTGTTCATTAAAAGATACCATGAAGAAAATAAACAGGCAAGCCACAGACTGGTAAAAGAAATCTTCAAAACACATATATTT